AAATGATAAGAACATTATGAAAAACTTATTGTAAAGCACAGGAATGAAATGTGAGTATATTAAGCCAGCTGGAGGTTCTAAAGTCTTTAAATATCTCATCTAACTATCCTACAGTGTATGTTTTGGAAATGTGCTTTAAATAACTAAATGGAAACAGTAAACCTAACTGAAAAGCCTTGTAGAAAATGCATGGAAAACGGAATCAAGTGGCATACTGAGCTCTGGTCCCTTGGGGCTAGGAAGGCTTGTCGAGCGCTCACTGAAATGAACCCTCGGTCTTGGTTCGCGTGGTTAGCATGGTCTTTCTACCCAGAAGTTGCTCGTCCTGCTAAATGTAAGCCTTCATGGAAGTCAGACGCTCCTGCCAAGTTCCGGTACCTGCAGTTGGATTGCACGTTCTCGTTCGTTCTAGACCCCAATTCCCATCTTTGGATGGCTGGCGTGCCAGGAACGTCGACAGGCTAGTATCCCTTCTTCATTCGGATGAAATCACTCATTCGGTTCCTGAACTAAGACTTGAGAACTGCCAAAATATTTATTTATATAAGAGTTTCTGGTGTTAGGTTAAATAACACCTTACCAGCGTTTGAATAACATGGTTTGTAATTGGAATCCTCATTACGCCTGTGAAATTAAATTAATAGGTTATGAAGGAAAGATTATTTCAAATACCTATAGAATGTGTTTGAATGTTGGGGTAGGGAGGGAATTTAAACAGAACATTTTAATTACATGTAACTTGAACTAGGTCAATAAAGAATAGAGACTTTGGGGGACAAAGAATTCTTTAACACTTATAAATCATTGTAAAATGAATGTAATACAATCTACAGATGTACGTATTCATTTGTCCTGATGCTTCATTGAATAAATTACTTGTGCCTATTTGCATGGCTCTCTTTAAACATTAAGAATTATAGATGCACGTGTCTCAGGAAGCTTGTCACTCAGAACTCCAGATAAGATGAGCATATTGAAAAGTTAAATACTTCTAAATAGCGGCACTGTTGAGAGGAACAGAGAAGACGACTGTACTGGGGTTTGATCAGAAGGTCAGAACCACCGTGAGTGATGTAAGGGATGTAGTATGGGGTATTAAGCCGATGTGGTACTGGGAGTGAGGCTGTCTGGAAAGCTGCTGGGCCTGTACCTGGTGCTGGGCCAAGGTAAGCAGGACTGTCAGAGAGGAAAGTAGGGGCGGGGGTGGGGGGCAGCCACCTGAGATCTGCAAGGCTGAGCTGAAACTCATCGGAACAAACCAGAACACGTGTCTGTGTCTTGCTGCTTCCAAGCCCGCAACTTGGATGATGAAGGTACCTTCCCAAAGAGTGGGTGCATTTCTCCGTGGAACAACACACAGCCTTGGCCCGGTATGAATGGGAGGTGGACGAGCTCAGGGACTGTCTTCAGCCCAAGGAGCTGGTAGGAGCTGGAGAAGTTACAGCTGCGGTGCCCCTCCAGGCCACCAGGGCAGCCAGCAGACCCTCAGCTATGGAGTGTGAGACTTCAGTTCCACCTTCCAAATCCCATGCCAGCTCTGTGGCTCTCCAGAACATCCAGTTGTGCAGGAATGGCGGTGGCGGGGTGGGGCAGGCTGGTTCCTGGTTAACTGAACTGATGCAGCATAAACCCAACAGCCGTCATGGTTCACCCCTTGTCAGCTTGGCACTCGGACACACGTTTCGATCAAACTTAGCTTCCAAAGAAGGCGATAGCAAAATTGTGTTTATGCCGAACAGGATGAAATGATCCCTCAACCCAACATTCACTAATCCAAAATTGACTAGTCCTCTCTGCGTCTGGGTGATGTTGCTCTCTCTTCAAGCTGGGTCACAGTCCCCCTGGATGTTATGCAGCCTAAATTCTGAGACACAAGATGAAATACTATTAGCATACATTCAGTGGTAGGAGAATGGGAGAGAGGAATAGACACTTTGGTTTATATATATGAATATGATTATATGAAAATAAAAGTATTCAGATTCCTTGTGTCTGCCCCTGGTCACAGGACCACAGCTGGTATTTATAACTACCTTTTTCTACCAGCCATTCCATATTCCCTTTGTCTTTGGCAAGCACCTCAGACGATTGTAGTTCTTGGCACCGGAGATGACCCAAAACTGAGTTCCAGAAGGGTCTGGACGTGGAGCTCCTAGATACTGCTAGTAGGAATGTAAAGTGGCAGGTCCCCTTGGTGAAACTGTGTACACTTTAAAAGGCTGTTGGGGGGGCGCCTGTGTGGTTCAGTCAGTTAAGCCTCTGCCTTCCGCTCCGGTCGTGATCTCGGGGTCCTGGGATCGAGCCCCACATGGGGCTCTCTGCTCAGTGGGGAGCCTGCTTCTCCCTCTGCCTCTCCTTTTGCCTCTGCCTCCCACATGTGCTCTCTCTCTCTCAAATAAATAGATAAGATCTTTAAAAAAATGAGAAAATAAGGGCGCCTGGGTGGCTCAGTTGGTTCAGCGACTGCCTTCGGCTCAGGTCATGATCCTGGAGTCCCGGGATCGAGTCCCGCATCGGGCTCCCTGCTCGGCGGGGAGTCTGCTTCTCCCTCTGACCCTCTTCCCTCTCATGTGCTCTCTCTCTCTCATTCTCTCTGTCTCAAATAAATAAATAAAATCTTTAAAAAAAATTAAAAAAAATTAGAAAATAAAAATAAAAGGCTGTTGGGCTAGAGGGTAAAGCAGGATGTTGATTTCTCTCTATCTCCATTGCCACAGCCTTGATAGGCCTTCTCCGTCTGTCACCCGGGCCATTAACAGCCAAAGCCATCCTCCAAGTGGCAGTCACAGTGATCTGCCCAAAATGCATCTCCTGCATGTTAGCGTGGCACGTGAAGCTCTCCACGGTCTGGCTCTTCACCTACCTCTGGAGCTTCCTTTCCAGCCATGCACCGACACCGATGGTAATGGTAGTTAAATGTGCCATTATTAAGCACTTGGTCCGTGCCAAGCATAATGCTGTATATCAGTATCTTACTGATCCTCACAGTAACCTTGCAAGTTGCATGTTATTAACCCTCATTTTACAGATGAGGAAATGGGCTTTTCAGGCAGTGTCACGTAGCCACTAGTTGTTGGTAAAGCTGAAATGTAACCCTCATCTCTCACTGCAAAGCCTAGGTGGACCTTTTTTTTTTTTATTTTTTTAAGATTTTATTTATTTATTTGAGAGAGAGAGAATGAGAGATAGAGAGCATGAGAGGGAAGAGGGTCAGAGGGAGAAGCAGACTCCCTGCTGAGCAGGGAGCCCGATGCGGGACTCGATCCCGGGACTCCAGGATCATGACCTGAGCCGAAGGCAGTTGCTTAACCAGCTGAGCCACCCAGGCGCCCAGCCTTGGGTGAACCTTTAACCTCTGTGCTATCCTGAACTCTTTCTAGCTACTCGAGCGTATCATGAAGTTTCTGCCTCCCGTGCCTTTCTTTCTATATGTTTCCCCTTGCGTCTAGACTGCGCTTTTCTGCCCTCCAGTCCCCTTAAAGCATCTGACTCCTGCAGAGTCTTGAAGTCTGTTTAGGAGTGCTGGAAGGATGTTTGCCCTGCCTGCCTCCCGGCTACTTCAGAGCCCATTTTAGCACATCTCCTTTTCACTGTGCTGTGCACATTATTATAATCATCTGTATCCTGGTCTTTCCGTTAGATTAAAGGTCAGCAAACCCTTTTCAGTTAAGGGCCAGAGAGTAAATATTTTAGGTTTTGTGGGCCATACTGTCTCTGTTGCAACTACCCAACCCAGCCTCGGGTGTGAGGGCCAACCATAGCACGATGTAGACAGCGAGTGTGGGTGAGTTCCAACGCAACTCTGCTAATGGACACTGAAATCTGACTCTCGGATAATTTTCACATGTCACAGAATATTCTTCTCCTTTGGATTTATTTTTCCAGTCATTAAAAAAAATGTAAAAAAAAAACAAAAACGTATTGTCTTGTGAGCTGTACCAGGAGCAGGTGCAGGTGGGACATGAGCTTGCCAACCCCTACATTAGAGTATGAATTTCTTTTTTTTTTAAAGATTTTATTTATTTATTTTGATGGAGAGAGAGAGAGACAGCGAGAGAGGGAACACAAGCAGGGGGAGTGGGAGAGGGAGAAGCAGGCTTCCCACTGAGCAGGGAGCCCGATGCGGGACTCGATCCCAGGACCCTGGGACCATGACCTGAGCCGAAGGCAGTCGCTTAATGACTGAGCACCCCAGGCACCCCTAGAGTATGAATTTCTGGAGAGCAGATCCAGTACCTCATTGTTAGGGTGACCATACCAGTGTGTCGTCCAGATTGGGATCCTTTTGAGAGCGAGAAGGGTTGCTGTTAATGATGCTGGGATCACAGGGGGTAAAGAGGGAGCTGCCCCAGGCAGAGAGAGATGGTTACACTAGTCACGGTTGTTCCCTTGTTGGCTGTGTAGTTTTATTGTGGGTCCTAATCCCTCAGCCCTGGTTCTTGACTTTAGTGGCCCATTTCCCTGGTTGATTCACAGGCTTGGGGGGGTGTGCAAGGTTCTGAAATCGTCTAGAGCATGAAAGCTTTACACCCGCAACAATTAACTTCCTCTGAAGGAAGCAACTGTGTGTTTAACTGTGGTTTTCAGAGTGGATCAAAGTGGAACCGCGCATATTCTAGACAATTAATGCTTATAATTTTTTTAAAGATTTTATTTATTTATTTATTTATTTGAGAGACAGAGCATGAGTGGGGCGAGGGGCAGAGGGAGACGCAGACTCCCCACTGAGCAGGGAGCCCAATCCCAGGACTCTGGGATCATGACCTGAGCCGAAGGCAGATGAGATGCTTAACTGACTGAGCCACTCAGGCGCCCCTTTTGCATATAATTTTTAAATATGTCTCTCCCAGAGAATTTTCCTCTGTTGAGTGACCAGAGTATGAGTTCATACAATCAAAATTAAAATGACATTTACTGTGGACAAAAGTATAGAACTGAAGCAGAAAAGATTGTTTCATGTTATATTAACGTCTTCTGTCTTTTTTTCAATCTTTTTGCAGTTTTTTGAGGTGCCGTTTGATTCAAACATGAATAGGACAAAGAACAGACCTCTCGTTCGTGGACAAATCAGGTAAAATCATGAATAGAAGTCTCTTTCACCTTCTCGAACATTCCTTTGCTTGTTTATCCTGAATCATGTCCCAGCCTTTTGCCTTGAGCTGTGAGGTGAAAATAACACCCTCCCAAAGGGACACGTTGATTTGGATGCGCAGTACTTTTAAACTCTCCCCAAAATGTACTACAGAGCACTTAAAACGGATCTAAGATTTGCTGTTCTGTTGTGGGAGTAACTCATGCAATGGATTTCTTTATGAAATTCCATTTTGAAACACGGACTTGTTTCATTGGTAGTGGCTGAGGATGAAAACATTCCATTAACACAAATGATTTCAGACAAATCCATATAGGGTCTCCAAAGAAAGATCTGTCTGAAGCCTTAGTTTTTCAGACAAACTGATAATGCTGTTATCTGCCGAGTAAAGCACTACCCCCATTACTCTCCTTTCTACCAAATTCAATTAAGTAGAACTAAAAGGCATATAAATATTTTAATATCACTAATGGTTAATAATTAAACATTTTACTTCCTGGAGACCTTGAAACTGGCATTTAAAAAAAAATTTTTTTTTCAAATCCAGTGGATATCATAAGCCAAGAAGAATAAAAAGAACCAAATGGTTTTACTGACGATTCTAAATCAGTGAATCCTCTCCTATTTCCAGGCAGTGCCCTGATGGAGCTTAAAATGTATTGGGGTAACTTTGGATCAAGTAATCACACATATTCAGTAAAACCATAAAGGGAACAAATGCAGATACAGTCGGAAGTCTATGTAAAAATGATTTTTAATATTAGCTGTTTGGAGCCGTTCAGTTCTTTAAAATACCATTATATTGCAAAGAGTAATGAAAACATATAAGAACAGATATCCCATATCCACTGATACTCGATTTCCTTTTTTGAGATACAAATAAACCATCTGCTGTTTTTATTTAAAGTGTCAGAAGTACTTTTATCTGGGTGGAGTTGTTCTAGAAGAGCAAATAGAAACTCCTCGTCACCCAACTCAAAAGCTAGAAGCTGCCCGTGCCTCTCGTGAGATCACTGGGAAGTCCTTACGCCTTCCTACAGGGAAATCACACCCCCCCCAACCCCGAAAACCGACCAGCAAGTAGCCCTTAGGCATCTAATGATCAGATAAAGGCCTGCCATCGTCCTCCTATCTCCTCTTACTCTGCCCAGTGTGGTCACCTTCTGCACCCAGGAACGCCAAGCCGACTAGTGCATCCAGGGAGAGGCGCACATGACCTTGTGGTTGGCATCGGGCAATGCCCATCCTTTACAGGAAAGAGGCTGCCGCACAATCGTTAGTCTTGTTAAACCGGTACTTTAATCTTTTGTTTGCAAGATGACCCGGGCAGAATCTCATCTATGCTAATAAACCTTAATTGCTACCTAAAGTAGCCTCTAAAAGGGCAAATGTTAGGGCTGAAAAAAGGACTCCCAACTTATGTGAAGAGCTGGGATGTATTTTATTAAACAGATGCAAGGAGCTGTTCCTTGAGTCTGGGGCAGAAGAAATCTTGCCCTAAGAATCATAGTTTTAAAACTGAAGACTTTATATCTCGCCACGTAGGGTTTATTATAACCTGGTAAATGATTAAGTACTACACAGATATTTTATAACTGGGTGGCCGTGGGGGGGTATAGTAGAAAGTCTTATAGACCACCCATTAGCATTAATTTCTCAGCTTTGGTGGTTCTGACATTCACAATGGCTATTGGGCATTTAAGTGCAAAGCCCAGCCAGTTTATTTTGAAATTCTCGATTTGGCATTTACTGCCCCATTTGACTTAGGCTGATCTGCCTTATTGAATCTATCCCACTTCATAGACTTTGCAGTTTGGCGTGTGAAGTGTAAGTTGCCGACGTTATTGACAGGTCTGGGAAGGAAGTCCTTGGACGTCTTTGCTGATGATAGCTGTTTCCGTCTTGTACCTAGCTTGGCACCTCTCCATTCTAATGAAATACTATGAACATTTATGGGGGGGAGGGGATTATATATATATAGAGAGAGAGAGAGCATTTTTTTTAGGTGATTAATTATTTTGAAAATTTTTACCGAAGTAAATAAAATTATATTCTAAGGAGTTAAAGAAATATACTTAAGGAAAGAAACATATGCCTGGACTAGTTGTTCTGGTTTTTTGGGTTTTTTTGAGAACCTGGGAAATCGGTACAGTTGTGCACACATGTGGCTGCCATTCTCTGAACTTTTCGTCGTTTTTTCCAGAAAAACGTGGCAGGGTGGGTGGGCACTGAAAGCTTTGTGGAGCTGACCCAGAAATAGTGCTTTTTTGCTTGTTTAATTTAGTCTTTATTCCAGAGAGGATTAGAGGTATCGTAAGACTGTATTTTATTTTTTTTAAGATTATTTATTTATTTATTTATTTGAGAGAGAGAGAGAGAGAGAATGAGAGAGAGCACGAGAGGGAAGAGGGTCAGAGGGGGAAGCAGACTCCCTGCCGAGCAGGGAGCCCGATGTGGGACTCGATCCCGGGACCCCGGGACCACGACCCTAGCCAAAGGCAGTCGCTCAACCAACTGAGCCACCCAGGCGCCCCGTAAGGCTGTATTTTAGCAAAGCAGAGAGATGTGTAAAGAAAGTCAGGGTTATAGAAAATAGAATATGCGATAAATGGTAAGAACCAGGAAAGCTTCTCCAGTTCACCTCGTTAATAAGGTTGAACTGTGGATTTCATTCTGCATTCCCGGTGAAATTACAGCTCCATCATAAGGGTAAGCATTGTGTGTATTACAAAGAAGTGGGAGAACCAAAATTTGGCCTCCTCCATTGGACTCCCTGCCCTGAGTCCATAGCAACTACACATAACTGTCTCTGAAAGTCTCTTTGTCCATCAGAAGAAAACCCCACTCTAGGGAGACCGAACTTCTGCCTCTCCATTCTTTAAAAAATAAGATGGGACACTTGGTGATGATCTTAGAAGAATGTTCTCTGTGACTTCCGTGGAGGAAGCAAATCATTTTCTAAGGCATCTCTCAGCACAAGCCAGGGGAAAATACCAAAGAACGGCTCCTGCTGTGAGAACCGCTTAGAGTGAATCTCCTTGAAGCAAGTGGGGAGGAAGAAGCTCATGGTCAGACATATTGGCCTAAGGACTATCTCTAGTGGTTCAGCTTGATCCAGGGATTAAAGGTTTATTTATTTATTTGAGAAAGAAAGAGAGGAGGGGCAGAGGAAGAGGGAGACAGAGAATCAACAGCAAACTGCGCTGAGCATGGAGCCTGACGCGGGGCTCGATCCCACAACCCTGAGATCACAACCTGAGTCAAAACCAGAGTCAGACGCTAAACCGATCCTGCCACTCGGGGTCCCTGATCCCAGGGTTAAACTGAGACCGTGAAAGAGAGAGGAGAAAGGTGCCGGTCTCGTGTGTCAAGCAGTGTGGGGAATGTCCTCTGCCACGTGACACAATTGTAAAGTGGGCTAGCGGTGGAGTGGCCATTTGTCCCGTTTGCCCAGGACAGTCCTGCTTTACACCAGAATTACTGATGGCGTCCCACTCTCAATAATGTCCGGGCTGGATGATGACTCTGTGCCACCTGATATAAAGGGATGGTGGGGACGGCTCTGATGTTCACAGAAGTCCCTTATTTTTAAGTGTATATTTCCTATAAATTCCAATTGCTTTTTTTTCTGACTAGGGGAGGAAAAAAAAAGCACATAAATGGAGAGTATGTTGTGTCTAAATCAGTTTGTAGATACACACCATGACACATACCCCTCGAAATAGCTTTTTAAAGATGACACTTGCTGTCTTTACATTTGCTTATAAATTAGAGGAGATAAATAAGGTCCGCTAACTGGTTTGGACATTTCTGGCAAAAATGTCACGGTTCTGAATGACTTGTCAGGAGGGAGTTGGGCTTAGAGCTCCCTTTTGATTCTCTGGCAGAGAAGAGAGCGTAGAATTCATGTCACATGTCAGGAACTCACACTGAAGGGCAAGTCACCTCACCTAAGGAGTCAAATCCACAAGTTACGTAATGAAGGTAAATGTCAAGAGAAGTTTATCTTCTTCTTGAAAGTCAGACCCAGTGTGATCCAGTTTTAACTTGGTGACTAGAGAAAGTTAACCAGCAATTTTTAAAAAATCTGTATAATAGAAGGCATTTCAGTCTTCAGATGTTCTTCATATGGTAGTCAGCGTCTAGTGAAAAATGTTACCTAACAGACCCGAAGCTTGGGCAAGTCACCGAGTTAACCTTTCTCTACCACCTCTCCCTCCTGGAGGGATCGCGGTTCCAGCCTTGTTCATCTCATGCCATCGCCGTACAGGTAACAAGATCCGTAAAATCATGCAAATACATGTGCATTGTTGGGAAGAAGGTTTAAAACTCAAGAGAAAAAAAAAGGAGTTATTTGTAGAAATTTCACCTGTTTCCAAAATTTGCTTTAAAATGTAAATATTCCAATACTTATCAGGCAATAACATAAAAAAGAAATTTAGGTTAGTTTCTAGGGTTAGGGAGAAAGAAGCAAAACACGTGGAAAGGGAGAGAACTCAGAACGTGGCAGGTGTGTTTGTGTGACCATCCAGCGGCAGCTTGTAAGAGAAGGTCGTCCCAGTAGAGGAGTGTGCCAGTTGCCAGGGTTACTAAGAGGTGGATGACAGGCTCTCCGTTCTCTTAGGATAGCATGGAGGAGGTGACAGGCCCGTGGCGTAAGGACACGAATTGTCGCCGTGAGAAGTACAGTTCACTCTGCAGATGTATCTCCAGATGCACCTGCCAGTCAGGCCCCGCACCGGACGCCAGAGGTGTAACGGTCAGCACGGCAGAAGGGACGTGCCGGGTGACGTGGCAGCACAAAGAGGAGAACCTGACCCGGACCGCGGAGGTCCAGGGTGGACTTAGCGGAGGGGTGCGGTCTTGATGCTGAGAACCAGAGGATGAGCAAAAGCTGACCCAGCCTGTTCTGTTTTGAGTTCTTTCCATTGCTGCCTCCCCGGCCGCACCTTCCCTGGGGGTCGCTAGCCTCCTTCTGA